GCACCTAATCATCATCATCACGATTGTCAGCCGGCTCGCTCCGCGTACCCATCCTTTTCTGTGCTTATCGCGCAATCGTGCGACGCGACGAGCCGCGCCTTTGAAGTGCGGCTCAGTCGCGAGCATGTATCGTCGATGTGACGTGTAGTCGCACAGGTCTTCAAACTTACCACCATGCTACTCTTGATGACTGTCTGATGTCTACTAAACTCACGTAATTGTTGCTATCGTCAGTATGCAGCTCACCGAGGTCCATCATTGAGCACCCGGTCATTCCCGGAGCCGAAGGCGCGCCTCGGTACCCGAATTGTGTAGGTGCTTGCTTGAGTCTCGGCCCGTTCAGCAAGCGTGAGCAGCAGCTACAAGAAATGCTGCACTCACGATACGTCATGCACCCGCGACTGCGCGTATACGGTGTGCACTGCGGTGGTACCTTACCTATATATATTCAGAGGGATCATTTGCATCGCCGACTGATGAGCAACCGCCATGCAGATTACCTTGTCCATGCAAAGCACCTGCCTTGCATCGAGCCGTCCTCAGAGCTGCCAATCCGATTGCGAGTCGCCAACTGCGCTCAACGAAACTTGTTGCTGTTATTCGCACTCAGACATGGGAAAGCCAGCACGCATCCATGCTGGGACGCCTACCTATAGCTCCGCCATCGGCAAGCGGATGCAGACGTCCGCGGAGCGCTATAGATCCGTCTACTCCGTCCGTCTGCTGCTCAGCTGCCTTGATCGACCTCATACCGGTAGCTGGCGCAACGTGCTGACACCGTGTCTCGCCGAGATTCCTTGCGGTTCTGCTGTCTGACTTGAGCCTGCGGCTGAAGTGCATGCACGGCCGGCACTTGCTCAAAAGGAGCTTGATTGTGACAGAAAAGAGGAGTCAAACAATGTGTATCAATCCAGCAGCATGTAGACGTGATACGCCTGTGTGCATGCATCGCCGGGTCACACAGACCGTCGCGGCCTTTGCTGTTGCGAGGCGAGACATTGGGCTCGTAAGCACGATGCTGCATGCGTGGCCATCTTTGCTGGACAATCGCGATGCTCTGCAATCGTGTATTCATTCCGCGTTCGCGCGACTTGCGGGTTGCGCAGACAAAAAGCCAAGTGGCGTGTATGTGCTTTTGCTGATGATGTTCATACCTCCATGCTGATTGACGATGGAAGGCGGGCGCGGTGACGCCGCGGGTCGCGCCGCGGGTCGCGCCGGTGCATCCACGCAACCGCAATCAAGCATGCAGCAGCAGCAGCAGCAGCAGCAGC